GAAAAACCCTGCTGAAAAGGGGTCGAGCAGAGAGGACCAATTTAAGAGCCAAGATGATGTGTGAAGACAGGTATGGACACTCTGAAATGAAAATCTCACCTGGCTGAGACCCCGGGGGTAAGTTCCCCCCCCAAAGGACATGCAAGAGAAGGTGGGTTTTGGTCATGCAAAGAGTTTTTGGCAGAGCAGCAAGCCTAATTGCATGGACATGGGCAGCGCATGGTTGTGTGATCCCTACAGCTGTCAGAAGGAAGGGGAATACTGTTTTATTGCAGAAATGCTGATTATTTTAAAATATGATGTGTTGTTGCCCTCTGGCCTCTACCGGGTTGTTCTGACCACGCGCACAGCTGTGCTGTACCTGCTCCCGGCACTGCAGACCCCTGCCCCGGGAATGATGACGGCTCCCGGGCTGCACTGCTCCATGCCAGCGCACACGACATTCCCCAGGTTGCCCACACCAGGGGCACACTGCACCCCCTCTGCACCAGAGATGACTTCTCGCCCCACGCAGCTCACTGCGCTCCTCGCCCCAAATCCGCCCCCCACCCTGGGGAGGCAATCTACGCTCCGGGTGCTAAAGCCGGCCCCACTGACGCCAAAGGAGGAGATCACCCCTAACCCCGCGCCGGCCCCTCCTGTCTTGACAGCGCATTTGCCTCCAATTCCAGAGAGGGTTCGGCACTCCCCGACAGTGCCACCGCCGCTGACCACAGCTGTGGGAGAAAAACAGGCTCAGTCACTCCCAGAGCAGCTAAAACCCAGCTTATAAGGAAACTTATAAGCTTGAAAGACTTGTAAGGAAATGAAGGGGATGGTTCATTAGCTTACCAACGCTCACAGGGTTGCCGGTACATATCCTGTTAAGAAAAGAAATGTCTCAAAGACGTTTTTAGGGAAATATCCCCCAAATGCAGAAGCAAATAGGTCATTGCCCTCTTAGGAACCCTGCGGTATTTCAGCTTTTCTGTGCACCCAGGTGTGAGGTGCTGGTCCAAATTGCCCGCTGAAGCACTGCGGAGTTGGATCCCCAAATCCCAGAGACATCTAAATATCCCATCCTCTTTTCGTACTGTAAGCAGGGGATCTGACTGCAGCCTGCCTGGTGCACTGCGATCCAGCTGCCCTCAGAGGACGAGGAGGAAACAGGGGCAACGCTCCCTTACACACCCACGGGGAGAAAAAGGGATGACACTCCCCTCCACACACATGGGGAGGTGCCTCTACCCAACATTTCTCCCTGTCACTCTCCTCCTGTTGGGTTTTGCCCGTTATCATTACAAGGTGCAGCCAGCCAGGGATGCTCCTACCTGCTCTCTTCTCCTTCCAGCAGCGTCCTGTAAGTGGCAATCTCAATGTCCAGGGCCAGCTTGACATTCAGCAGCTCCTGGTAGTCTCTCAGCAAGCAGGCCATCTTGTCCTTGGCTTGCTGCAGTGCAGTCTGCAGGTCAATCAGCTTCTGCCGGGCATCTTTGAGGGCGCAGTCGCCCCGCTGCTCAGCGTCACAGATGGCTGTCTGCAGAGCTGCGATCTGTGGGCAGTAACAGGCAAGAAGGTGGCCAGTAGTGATGTTCAAGAGGCATCTCCACAGGGTTGCTCTTCTACCCCCTTGTTTCTCAGCTAGGAACCGCCAGAGAGCCTAGATTTAGGCTGGACACATGTGATGGCCAAGCTAGTTGGGATGAAGGGGAGGGGACCTCGGAAGGAAGCATACAGCAAAGTGTTCCTGGCTTCTGCTTATTTGCTAAGTGAGAAATAAATCTGCCTCATTGTGTATTGACAGCAGATGAGAAGCTACAAGATAGGCTTAAGCTGGGGGGGGTGTTGTGTTCTTTGCAGCTCAGCAGGGTGAGGACGAAGGCCTTTACTGGAGAAGTTGCACATCCCACTGCCCATGCAGCATTCACCCCTTCGTCCTACCTGTTTCTTCACATTGTCCGACTCGCACTGC